AAAGGAGGTGTCTGGCGAAACACTGAGGTACTCCTCTGAATTATTTTACAGTTTTAAGGATGAAATCCTCAAAGCTGCTGTTATGAAATATGGCAAAAATCAATGGGCTCGAATTGCCTCTCTTCTGCACAGAAAATCAGACAAGCAGTGCAAAGCTAGATGGTATGAATGGCTAGACCCAAGCGTCAAGAAAACTGAGTGGAGTCGAGAGGAAGATGAGAAGTTGCTGCATTTAGCCAAGATGATGCCCACTCAGTGGCGTACTATTGCGCCAATTGTTGGGAGAACTGCAAATCAATGTCTTGAGCGTTATGAGTATCTTCTCGACAAGGCACAAAATATCGATATGGCTTCGCGAGATGACCCACGTCGTCTTCGCCCTGGTGAAATCGACCCAAGTCCCGAGACAAAGCCTGCACGTCCTGATCCTGTGGATATGGATGAAGATGAACTTGAAATGTTGTCAGAAGCAAGGGCTCGGCTTGCGAATACCCAGGGCAAAAAAGCCAAGAGGAAGGCGCGCGAGCGTCAACTTGAAATCGCAAGGCGAATGGCAATGATGCAGAAGCGTCGAGAGCTGCGTGCAGCCGGTCTCGCTTCTACTATCGCTCCACTTGTGAATAAAAACGTGTTTATAGATTATAATCGAGAGATCCCTTTTGAGAAGCAACCGCCCAAAGGATTTCATGACACAAGCCGTGAGTTTCCTGACCCAAAACCCATTAATTTCGATCGTCTTCGTCTTGGTGACATTGAAAAGGAGCCATATATGGAACGAGAAAAGGTAGTTACCACTTGCGTGTTTTTGCGTTTAAGTGTTTTTAAAACTCTTACATTATTTTTTACTTGCAGCGGGAGCGCAAGAAAGATGCTGAGCGTCAAGCGAAGAGATTGGAATCGGATCTGCCGGGTGCTTTGCTTGCCCGTGAAAAGGATTGTGGTGAGCCTGTTGTTAAACGTTCCAGGCTGGTCCTTCCTGAGCCCCAAATTTCTGATCTTGAACTGGAGAATTTAGTCAAAGTGGGTCAACTGTTTGATTCAATTTCTACTCTTTATGTGTGTGTGTGTGTTGTGACTTGTTCTTACTTTCCTATCTCAGGTTGGGCAGGCTGGCGAAAACGCTATGCGTATGGCCTTAGAAGATTCACGACCTGATGTCTCCGCCACACAGACTCTTCTTTCGGAGTATCACAGGGGCAGTGGCGCTGATCCGACCTTTGCAACACCATTACATTTACTTGCCAAGACTCCCCAGGCCGCCACAGACTCGCTTATTCAGGTTGGTTTAAAGTGATGTGCTGCAAAAATTCGTCACTCCAAATAGTTGATGCTATGGTAAACAGCTGATTCCATGTGCTATATTTTTTGGCAAATCTGGTTATCCCATGTTGACGCCGTTTTGTGGTACTTAATGTCTTGCTCCCTAAATGATCTTGCAGTGGTTTTACGGTCATCTATTTCGTCTTTATTTATCGAATTCCCCTTTGTTAGATTGAAATTGTTAATGACTATAACCACACACTATTCACAACACCCACCATTCTTCTTTATGCGGTGTATTGACCCTTTACCCTACGTAGAGTGTGATTCCCTCATCAGTACTTTTTATTGTCTATCTCCTTCATTTCCGGCGTTGTGAAAGTCCATGGAATTTTCTTCTCTGTAGGAAGCACAGAACATTCTGGCTCTGCAACAGGTGCAGACTCCACTGAAAGGCGGTGATAATACCGAGTTATCGACGGGAGTGGTTGATATAGTCGGGGCGACGCCACAGGCCAAACATTTGCCCACTCCAAATATTTTGTTGCCTAGCCAACTTGCCGCAAACACTCCTTTCCGAACACCTCAAGTTGGTTGTGAGTTTTTGTTGCCTTCTAGTTTGACCCTGAGTTCCCTGTTTTGTCAATTTGATGGACACTGGAAGTAACTGTCTAGTCAAGTGCTTCTGTTAGTTCCTGTTTCATGAAGTATAACCATTGCCAAAACTCGCACGTCATAGTTAGAAGTGCCTGCATAAACTTCAGACGGCTTGCTTTGTCGGTTTCAGCTACTCCAGGAATGCCAGACATTGTCACGGGCCAAACCTCTCGTCGAGACCACCTTAACATCAATGACGTTGATGGCCTTGAAGTAAGTTACTTCATTCTGTTTTAGAAGTACTCACATCAAATTAATTTGGTAGTACATTCACCCCTGCTTCATGCAGTCCTGTTTGTAGGTAACTTGTTTGTACGCTGTGTTTTCGCCTATGATTATTTGTTGAAACTGATTCACTGTATGTAAAAATTTCGGTAGGTGATGAGATTTTGCTTGCTCTATGCTTCATTGTTCTTCTCTCGAAAATTCCACTCCATTGGCTGATCCTCTAATAAAATCCACAAATTGTTAGATTTCATTACATGACCAAACCATGGAGGAGTTTGGATCAGCGATAAGTGAATCTCGTTATCACAATCGATTCAGCGTTTTTTAAGTTATCTCAACGAAACACTGAGTGTCAGTACTTTTGTTTTTCAGGAAACCGAGGTCAGCTCGGTGGCTAGCCTACAGAAGAAGCTATCACGACTGCCTCAACCAAAGAACAATTTTGAGATCAGCATGCCTGACGAGGAGCAGTTGGACCAGGAGTTGGAAACAGAATCAGTGGATTTGGATGCGACGGGGGCTGGTACGGCTGTTCGCCTGGCTGATCAGGCTGAGTTGGACAGACAGTCGGCCGAGGCGCGGGCAGCTGCTGCTGACGCTGCTTGGTCGCGACGCAGTCATGCTCTCCAACGAGGTCTTCCGCGTCCGACGACCATCAACAACTCTATCTTGAGACCTCCGCCAACTACTCCTGCTGAAGCCATGTCTCTAACCGACTTGCAGAAGGTAGCTGATTTCACTTTTTTTACTTAATTCCTCTCTCTTGTGTTCAATCTGCTGTCTTTATTGATTCCTATGATCTACATGAAGATTAGTCATTTTAGGAATATAGTTACAGGACTTTTTTATTAGATCGTGAGTAATACGCATGAGTCTCATCCCTGTATTTCCGTTTCGTGAGGTGAACTCATTCCCCATTTGATGTTTGATATTGTTCATTCAAGGTAACAGAGATTCTCTGGGTCAGGTTTATAAGCTTGACAAATTAAATTATCAAAATACATTGTTCATCAACCTTAGGAAGCGTAATCCTTTACCGTTTGTCTCCTAGGCGGAGGAGTTGATTAAAAAGGAGGTGTTGACGATGCTACACTACGACAATATGCATAACCCACCCCCAACTCTTCTTGCTGACTTGGCCCGAACCCCTGAAGGGAAGCTGCTTAGTGCTACCGCACAGCACAAGCGCCTTCAGCAGATTAACACGAATCACGAGGCCTTCCTTCAAGAATCGGAATACGAGGAGTTTCCTGACGATTACCTGGCCGAGGTAAGGTTTGCATTGGTTAAGGAACCTTTTGTAGTTGTAGTTCTGTTATTTTTTTGTCCATTTTCTCGTAATGTCCTTAAATGTGTAACTGAAGGCGTGTTCCTGGTGCCTGATGAAGTCTCTACGATTTAGTTTTAGCCATCGTGCACTACGTAACTGCAAGCTTGGACATTGTCATGTAGGTAGAACCGAACTTTTGCCGTCGAGTGAATCATCCGAAAGTGGAATTTCATGTGTGACAAACTTTACTGATGTGGCTTTTGGTCACCCAAGTAGCAACCTATTCTTTGTTCCAACTGCATATTGACCAATGAATAGGGTAGAAAAGCTCGGTGCCATAGTTGCCGCAAATTTTAATCTCAGGCAGTATGGCGCTACTAAATTCACCTTGAAGTGTGTCGTCGCACTTCCAGTTCGACAGTTCGGCTGTGGACGCAAGTAAGCGAGTCCAGTTGTTGTTTTTTTGTCAAGATACACGTAGCTGCGTTATGTAGGGTCGAAAACTGGGTCAGTCGAGGCAGTATGGCTGAGTTCAAGAGTGAATCATGGTATTTTTGCAGAATGACCAATTTTTCCCTCGCAGGCTGCCGAAATGATCAAAGAAGAAATGGGAGTAGTGCGGAGTGCGATGGGTCACGGTGAACTGTCCACCGAGGCGTACGGCAAGGTGTGGGAGGAGTGCCTCGCCCAGGTGCTGTACCTGCCTCAGCACAAACGCTACACACGCGCCAATCTTGTTCCCAAGGCGGACCGTATCACCTCGGCGGAGAAGAGGCTAGAACAGCTGCGCTCCCTCATGGCCGACGAGGCCAAGAAGGCGGCCAAACAGGAGAAAAAGCTTGGCATTCTGCTTGGCGGATACCAGGTACAGTAACCTTTGCTCATGCTGTTAACCGCGTCGTGTCGTTCCTCAGAAATTGTGCACTTACTAAGCTCTTCACTAGCATCGACAGTTTGAAATTTTGTCCATGATTGAAAAGCTACTATTGGTGAAGCAACAGTCAAATCATGTTCACGAGTGCAATTTACGAGGCACTCGTCCCAAGTAGTGTGATCTCTGATGTTCTAGGTCTTATTTCCAAATCCTGTCCTAGTTCTATTGCAGTTCACATGCCTAGCGAAACAGTTTTTAGAAATGTTTTCTGTTGAGCAAAGTTGACCTTCGCCTAGTCATCGGACCACAACTACTGTCCACTTGACCGTTCTTTAGTCGCCCTTATTGCATTTCAGTCGCGTGCCCAGACTCTGATAAAGGCCATCCAGGAGTCAGTGGATCAGATTGAGCAAAGCCAAATTGAATTTTCCTCTCTGCAGCACTTGCGCGAGCAGGAGCTCGGAGCCATCGTTAGGCGCACTGACGTAAGCTCCTGTTGCCTTTGGAGGGTGTATGAGTTTTCGTGCTTATGGGGTCGCAGTTGGCGTCTCCATTGTTCTTCTTCCCCTTTACCTTTCCCTTCTAGCTCCTCAAAATTGATGTCGAGCGTCAACGCGCCCGCGAGGCTGAGCTCCAGACCACTTACGCTCGCCTCGCTCGCATGAAGGAAGAACGCATTGAAAGCGATGAAGCCCCTATTGACACTCAAGCCTACGATAATGACAATGCCTTAACTCCAACAAATCTCGAGACCACTGAGATGGAACAGGACAGGTAAGGTTTTAGAGTCTGCTTTTTTTTCTGGTGTAAAGTGGAATGTTCAACTGTTTTTCGAAACCGGTTACAGCCTTTAGATTGAAGGAACTTATGCACTTGTAAGATACATGGTATAAGTGGAGCTCAATGGGCTACTTAGGGTTCCTCACTCTAAGATCTCCGTAGTATGCTCATTATCCAAAATCTACACTTTTCTATCCTAAAAATATTTGAAGTCTGACTTGATCCGGATGCTCTTATCTGTTAGTCATTTGTCATCATACTATTCACTATTGATTCCCCAGTTGCACCAGTTTCGATTTTTTTCTGGTAACTTTTTCTGTTCAAATCCTTCTCAGTGTAGTTTTTGTTTAGTCCTCGAAATTGCTTTATTATAGCGATTGTGGTGGGTGGACCACTATTCAGCCCTGTGAGGAAAAGGACGCATCTGCTCAGACAGTGTCCTCGATTAATAAGCCAAACGGAGGACTCGGTGAAGTCGATGTCGATCTTGACGCCGCAGCATAGACCCAAGTGACACACCCATTCCCCTTGCCATTTACACTGTGTATTATACGTGTGTGTGTGTTTCTTGTGGAGATTACCAGTTGATACCATGTGTTTGCAGTAGGGCATGTTTGAATTCAAAGTGGTGTTTGGTATTTTAACCGATGTCGTCAAATTAACTCCCTGCACTATTCCATCTGCTTGTTTAACGTAACCACTGTTTGCACGCGCGCAAATCGGTAGCCATGTGTTTATGAGAATTCACTTCTTGACCTGCGAGGGTTGAAGTTGCTTGCTCCTCAATCACATTCCAGGCAGAGCAGCCTGAAAAGGCAAGTATGGTTCTTCAGGAATGTTGGGTCAAAACTCAGCTCGCTTTCTGTGGCCCGTGTACAGGTTCATTGTGTGTTCTGCTGATCATTTGGCAAATTTCCTGTTCTTACCAATCAAATTGGTCTGGGTTACAGCGAGAAAGTCGCCACTTATCTTGCTGGATTATTAACTCAAATGAATGCCTACATTGACCGGCAACCGAAATACTTTTTCTGACTGTCTCAAAGTTGCAAGTAGTCAGACATTGGCTGCTGTGTTCTTCAGGTCGTAGAGGCAGTGTCCAGCTACCACGTTATAATTCATACGGTTTCGACTTCAGATAGGGTTTGTCCAGGTGGTTTTTAAAATTGCAGGCTACCACAGATGCGCGGTAAACGAAATAGTTCGCTTGATTCTTGAAAGCGGACGAATATCGCTGCATTTACTGGCAGTATTTGCAATGAAACACAAAGAGTAAGCAATGCCTAGAAAAACTTTAATGATGCCGTGAATGAAATACAATACTGGAAATTCGTCATCCGTTAAATACGCTAAACGGAACACATCAACGTGTAGGCAGTGTGCGTAGAAATGGCGAATGAGGTAAAAGTCAGTGGAAAGTGCTATCAAATATCACGTCGAGGCGGGGTGGTTTGGGGGAAAAAGTTATTGGTGCTGCGAGATAAAGAAGGGGAAGAATTATGGCGGCGATGGAAATGTTAAGGTCCATTCCTCAAGCAGTTGAGAATAATTGAAGTTAGAGAAGAGGGAGCATTGGGCCACCTTCCCGTATTTCCTACTGCTGTATTTCAATAGGGCAGCCTGTCGGTAACAGAAAGTTTAAAAAAACAACATAACTATAGTCGTTTGTCACAGTGTTATTCTCAAAATTTTGCCGAAGTGTGGGGCTGGGTAGGGGTGTATTTATATATTCTCCGAAGCTAGATATATATACCTTTTTTTAGATATGGGATGCATTATTGCAGAAATTCATGCGTAGTTGTTTGCTTGGTTTTGCACATAACCTGGATATCTACTTTTGGGTGTGATTAAAGCTACCAACGAAGACTAGCATGGTTAGCCTAATGTTACATAGCGGGGAAAGTATTCACCCTACAATTATTTAAGCTAGTCAGACGAAAGTTAAAGCTTAGTGTAAATTTAAGTTCGCAAATAAAAAACAATCTGCTAAATTTCTCAAGAAAAAGACTAACATCAAATGTCCACTCGTCCTTTCCGTCTGTCGACTCGTTCACGTCAGGAGCAGCGAGCAGTAGCTGCATTTTGGCCAGCATCGAGGCGTAGATCAAGGAAACCCTTTTAAGGCTTTTCGAGACATGATGGCCCGTGAATGCAGCCAACTTGGGCGTCCAGAGATCGGGAGCTGCGGCTGTGGACACGCAGCTAGTGGGGGACGAAGACTGAGAGGAGTCGATGGAGCGCGATGGGTATGCGCTGGAGAGTATTAGTCGACGAGAGAGGTACACAGCAGCAGCGCAGCGCAGACTTGAGGAGAACTGACAAAGTGCAAACTCAGGAAGGCAAAGGTCGAACAGATACAGGCACATCAGTCGAATCTAAAACATGGACACCAATTTGACTAGACCTCCTACCTGTATCAGTTTTGGTGGATTCGCCAAGAGAGGTACAACAGGATATTAATCGTTCCGGACGCAGTGCACCTTCAAGCAGTGGACGATCGTCGACAGAATGCAGATAATTCCAAAATCCATGTTAGATGTGAAGAACAAAATGCGTCAATTTGTTTCAAAATGCTCCAAGATTTTGTTCAATAAAGATACATATAGGTACCTTAACTATATTTGTTATTCCCTGCAGACCTGTGCTTATTTAAAACCCTTTTGATTCTCTCAGGTCAGATCTACTTGAGTGTTAATAACCAGGACAAAATGATGTCTAAAAAGGCTCCTTCACTTTCCTATATCATCTGGATGCCGTTTATGTTATCTTTGTCACTGATATGATCGCTTCATAAGTTTTAGCACTCGCCATTCAGATCTGTATAATAATTGCACGCATAACTCACCTTATCTATGCTTGCGTCGCAGAGATCATTGCACGCCATGAGTGCAAAAGATAAAAATGTGTGTGGAATTGTGGGATTCATTTTGAAGTTCAGAACTCTCAGCATGGTAATTTCGAGTTCGAGGACCTGAAAAAGAATGGGTTTTCCGTATTGCCTGCCACCGATAATAGGTAATGAGAAAACCAGAAAGATGAATATGCAAGCAACTTCAGAACGAACCTGGTCTGGTTCGAAGGAGTGTTCCGTGAGGTAGCAAAGTGTTTTCAATGACACAGGAACGCGTTCATTGACCTTTGCGGCGAGAAAGAGAGCTGTTATAGCCACGAGTTGGTAGTCTTCTTTCGCTATTTTCAAGTGCCATATAAACTGATCCACAAAAGATGCGGCCAAGTGCAATGACTCCGTCCTCATCTGCAAGTACTGCTGCACCTGACGACGAATAAACACGTTTATTAGGTTAGTAATTAAGAGAAATACGACTTGGTCATGGAAGTACTTGGAGTAGTAATGCAACAGGATGGCTGCGGAGGAACTACTGTTTTGGTTCTAGGTGCATGGCTTTTATTAGTGTCCCAGACTATTTCCTTTGGGTGTGAAAGTTACCTTGAATTTTGCACACAGATAAATATTCACCTCGACGAACAAGGTGCATTTTGTGTGTTTTTACCCACTAATATAATTCTGGAGAGATATTGAGCAGTAAATAGTCCATAACTGCTTCCAAATAATGCAAGATGGAAGTCGGTCTAGGCACTAAATCTAGGGCCTTTTAGGTTTTTGTAGTACCTTAATCATCCAATCGAAGAGGATGCCGCGGAGGTTGGTGCTGAGGCCACTTCGAACAAGGCAGTTGGGTTCAAAGTCCAAAGATAGTTGTGCATCACGAATTAAGAGGTAATGAAGAATCTAAAAATACGTACACGTCTGATTAAACAGGGTCTGTCTCGTATATCGTCAGTGATATAATTCCCTGGTGAATAATACTAAGTGTGTTTGATGTTGGTGAACCGCATCAATTATTGCATTGTTCAGAATTACCACAGACCCACTTAACTTCAAGTTTGGACTACGTCAGATTTAAGTTTTGTTGCCAACACTTAGACAAAGCTCATAATGGCGGTCCACCTTACAAAAAAGAACGGATACAATTTTTAAATTGCCTTAAATACCTGCATCATATGTTGAATGGCGAAGCAGCATAATCAAAATTTCCAAAGAACCGTGGAATGTATACAAAGTCAACTTAGTAAATCTACAGGCCAATTTTTCCTTCTGATTTTATGCTACTCCAATGAATACCATTCATCATCGGTTAATAAAGGGTGCATTAGGGAGAAATTGATGTACGGAACTATCATCACAGTTATCTGTAGTTTTTCTTACGAATGTCAGCAAAAATTAGCACGTTCATACTCGCTTATAGAATAGAGGAAATTCTCCGCGATCTGTAGCCTTGTATTCAAGAAGGGGATTAATGTGCAGGCGATCGACAATTAACGGGTATTTGTGTATCCAGGTGCCATTATAAATAGAGAAGGCGAGTCTAGTGCCTTTAGGAATCGTTATGACCTTCTTCGCTCTGGTCGGCTTAATGAGAGTCCGGGAGGCATTTCTTTCCACTACCGAAAGAGTCTGCCTTTCCATCAACATTCGAATTCCCTCGAGGCATTTCGAGTTCGCCTTTTCTGCGTCCAAAATAAAAAGAATAAAAGCAACGTGGTTAGAATAGAAAGAATGCGATTAAAGGGTCTTCGAGGTAGACACAAATAACTCGTATAATTCACAGTTATGGAAACCAAAAGGTACTAATATTTGAACAGAGTGCGTCAAAACTAGGAGAATGTGGACCCGTTTTGTCTTCAAGGCAAAAGATTGAGCTCAAATAACACACGACCATTCCCTCATAACTGTGTTTTTTTCCCTCAGTGGTTTGCAATACCTGAAGCCAGTTAAACCTGTGGGTCTTGAAATCACTAGAAATATGCTACGGAATTTTAATTACAGCCTACTGATGACATCAGTAGAAAAAGCAAATTAGGGGGTTTGGGGTTATATATCATCCAAGTGAAAGCATTTAATTGAACCTTGTTAAAAAGTGATGTTTCGCCAAATGACTACTTAGAAAAAAATGTACATAAATCATTTAATAAGAGTTTCCTGCACGGATCGCAACGTATGACGGACTTATCGAAAACTTAAAAATTTTCCATCAATCCTAAATTGGTTGAGAGAAAAAGGGAATTGTTTTAAATTGCATTCATTCCAGCCAATAAATAAATAAACAGTGGCATACCTATAACGTTTTTATTCTCTTTCTCCATGCTCCATTCGGATATTTCGTCCAAGGAACGCTTTTTCGTGACGCCAGATCGTCGTTGAGGCTCTTGCCTAACTCCTTTTTTAGTAATTTGGAAAATACGATTAATGCGTTGGTTTCCATTTATTCCTGAGTCGATGCATTTTGCTTTTTTACTTCCTCGTAGGTTTAATCCCGTTAGATTTCTTGGAGCGTTAGAAGGAAATGCCTGTATCGCAGGGAGCCCATCATCCTTGACGACTTCCAAATCGCATTGAGGCATTGCTTTCGTTTTCTTCCGGAAATTGCGATTTTCGCCTTCATCAATTGCGTTCGCAGCTGGCGACTGCTTCTGGTGCAAACGTCCAAAGGGTGAGTCACCCCTACGTTGCTCTTCGGTGTTCGCACTTGATGCGGGTGAATCCGACATAGTTTCTAATATAAGTCAAACACAAATTTACACTCGACATTTTGGACATATACGCACATTTTTGCCAAGTCTGAGCAATTTAAACTGCAGCCGATCAATATATTATTAGTTATGCGACACTGCACTCTAATTAGCTAAATGAGATTTCTCAAACGTAAATAAATATCTGAAAACACAGGCTCCAGGGTTCTTTGACGATTTTACCCTGCATCATTCGTATCAAAGGCTGGATTAAAAAATAAATCAAAACAGAATACACATGGAAATGCTCACGTTTGCGTGGCGGCATAGTTTTCTCTCGAGTGCCATGGACTGACAAGTCAGGCACTTTGACGGTGTAATAAATGCGAAAATCTGTTGAAATCTCATGTGATAAGCTTGATATGAGGAATAATCACGCGAACAACTGACATGACCCTGGACATGGGCTGGAATGCCACGAGGTAAACAGCTCCATGAGTTTGAGCGTAATAAAGTACAAATCGCCCAGTTAAATTTATATGTATAAGTAAAATACTGTAATAAATTTTGATGGCCGCGTGCATCTTCTCTAGGAAGTATTCGTTAGTTACATCTTGGTTTTTACAACGTTATGATATTTAGCATGCACAGCTTGATTGGGTTTATTAATTTCTGATAATTCTTTAAACGATGCAACAGAAAAGTGATTAAAAAAGCCCGTTTACTTTGGTATGCGGTCCCATGAAATGGCAGCATTTATGTGAACCTGTGACCGCTCAATGAATTTGATATCACACTCAATAAGCACAGAGGTACCGTTATACATGAAATAGAAAAAGTCGATAGCTCACCTAATCAACCAAAACGCCTTCGATAATCTGTTGGGTTACTTGAGCGCGACCCTGTCTTGAACAACTAAACGTTGAAATGAACCTTTTGACTGCGGTGTCATCAATTAGTTGAATCAGTGAGTGGTATTCAGACGCTCGGATGTGCGAAGAAGGCCTGAACACCGTTCTAGCACATTTATAGTTTTCGTGATTAGGATAGAACCTGACATGCATTTAATCGGATTAATAACACCACCCCGGCTTAATATGATTGTTTGCTAAAACGTTGGAAGGACAAGCAAACGACGCGTTTAAACTGTTAGTATAAAAGCCATAAATATGTCAAGAGACTCAAGGCAAAGTCGATTCTTTAAAGAGAGTTAATAAACACCGTTGGGGGTCCTACGTACTTAGAAATTCCACTGGGGTTATGATTTACTTGAATTAAGAGTCAGGCTGACAGTATGGAAATGTAGATTGACAGCCACCAAACCCTGGCTAACTAGATGAAAAACCACCAATCTTCAGTACATTCAATGGGAAAGTCTGAGCCTCATTTACTATTATGAACATTTAAACCCACATAGTTAGGGATTATTATACTCGCTTGATTAGCTTACCTTTTATCAGGTTCAAGTTAGTTCTTCATCTAATAGATTACCCTTCACTTGGATTCGTCGCCTTGTCGGCTACACAAATCGATGCGCAACACGTCTTTATTTTTGCGTAGTACAATAAACTAACACATATGAACACCGAATACCAAATTTCGTTTCCATAGTTTGCAATTGCATGTGTTTCACTGCTTTGCAGCAGAATAGACCATTGTTTTTGTCTTAATGGTGCCTATGATACGCCCTTATTTGAATATAAGAAGAAACTGTGCGTCCAGGCCACTGAGGTAAACAAACTTTCTTTTTAAAATTAGAAATAAATGTCGAGTTTCAAAGGAATAGGTTGGTCGAAAGCACACCTACTGTTCAAGCATTATCAAACTTTGATAAATTTAGAACGCAAAATTGTTAGTTTACCATTCATTTACGGCTCGAAGTCACCTCTGACATGAGCACTCTCGAGTACGGATGCTAACAGAAACGAAACCATTACACTCAAAATCGCTTGGCATTAACGTTTGCAAGGATTAAATTTCATTAATTACGGATTGAATTAATAAATGAGAGGGGAATGTGGGAATTGAAATCGAAAGTTAACTCGGCTTGAAGGATCCTAAATAGGACTGTGGGCCAAAGTGCTCTGAAGGTGTGGACAGATGATCTGCAGTAAAGAATAATAATCACAGAACCATTTATGAAGTACCACTGACGGTTTAATTGGTCCCTTATTTATTAAAAGCCTTTTCCCGAGGTGTATATTCGTTACCTTTTGTAGCAACGCAACCTAATATAAGTCCCGTTTTTAGCATTCTCATCTGTCGAATTTCGCGAGACTCCACAGTCTGCAGACTGCTGCGAGCATTTACGGGCCAAGTAATTCCCCCAGACTTAATTTCAGTTCCCCAGAATGGACCAGAACACCTAACAGTCACTCACTCCACTCGTTCTACCAGTTACTTTGGTCTTCATTTGAGGAGAGTTGATTTTTGTTAACCTATGCGAATTGTTTGCATTAATCCAATGGCACGGTAAAAATAGCGCTTTAAATTAACTATTGCCAAACTTTGGCGCATTTGGCTTCAGACTGCCGACACAGAAATTGAGAGCACAGTGTTCTGGGCACAATAAAACACCGATTACAATCCAATACTCGTACACATTTACGCTGCCTTTGTTCATTTCATCATCAACAGCACTTGTGATTTAGGGATTTCGCCGCATGACGCACTGTCCAGACTGCCGCTCATATGGAAATCAACTTGTGGAATCCATCAGATTATTCTAAAACTGCACTGGCGGTTCACGATTTAGGGCACATTCTTGCATCATGCTAACATTTCGACGACTTATCGTCAGTACTTCAAAACAGATACAAATTTGACCTTTTGGGGGATTCTCTGTTCGCCAAAGAAATACATTTGCACTTCCGTAAAACGACATAATTGAACAATTTAACAGCTATAAACATATCAGCATCCCTAAGTTACAGAAGCGTTGGCCTAACACGGGAACGATAATCGGCAACTATTAACAAAATCACACAGAACAAGAAATGAGTTTTAGATGGCTCTAGCGTAGAGCAGTCGATGGCAGTACGGGATATCAGTGGGAGAAAAATAATTACTCCAACTAGGAGCATTGTTGCTGGTGTTTGTAAGTTGTCTAGAATTTCCATCGCATCGACCAAAATCCCAATAACCCGTAGACACCGTGCGAAAGGCGGCACCCAATTTGCCACAGAGACGGCTTTTGAGGCATGGAAGCCCTTCCCCTCCCCATATTCTGATTATGATCAAACAGACACGATCACGTTAATTCAGCCGTAAGCCTTGGACTTTATTTCTAGGTAAAAGATTGTAATTGTTGCATTTATGTGCATAGAGATAAATGGAGCGATGGTGTATCCACAGTCAGTTTCACCACTAGGCAGTTTGAGTAACTAACATTTATGCACAATTGCCGACACCCAATATCTCACACAAGACGTCATCGGCACAGCAGTGCTAGTTGAGACCACGATGTGATGCGATTTAAGATTGCCACCTCGCGGAAGCGAATCCCCCGCATTATCACGACGATCGGATTGATTCAAGCAATGATTTCAACCGATTAAATTTGGACTTGGGAGGAGGAATTCACAAAATTGGCGACTAATGGGGAGTCGTCAGTTCAACAGGTTCAAATAACACGTAGAAAAAGGCACCAAATTTTACGTAGTCTTCGATAATGGTAATTTCATCCATTTACACCACAGGAGTTAAACAGCATTAGTGTCGACCGGCAAAATCCTATGTAAATTAACTAAACAACAGGTGCCCTTCAAATAAGCGTCGACGGAAAAACCGAGGAATGGTTTTACTCAAAAAAGACATTCACAAATAGAAACACAACGGGTTGGGAAATTTCGACAAGGTCCAATTGGTTCATAAGTCCTTTCTTGATTCCTTTGAGGTGGACTGTGGTTCCTCCAAATCATTATCCACGAGTCGATTCTTTTCTACAAAAAAAGTGATGCACGTATGTAGTGTAGGTAAATGCAGCAAATGTCGTTTTAGGGGCTCCCTTTTGGACGAAGGGTGACATTTTGGGTGTGAGTAGAATGCCCGAATGGCTGTAACAAGGAACCGGCATAGTGAAACTTGAATTGTTGGTAAAGCTGCATAATCCAATTCAACGAAAATATGGACTCACGAGGAGGGCCCTATCACCTCGAACACACGTCAACGTCCTTCGGATACTGACACATGGTGCTTCCGTGAAACAAAAGTGGAGTTATACCTTCATTAATGAAGTATAGTCTAAGAGGAACACACCTAACTGGTGTACAGTGACTAAAATAGTGGGTGAGGATGCCAGGGTTGAAAAATCATGAGACGTCTTTGGTAACGAACTCACCAGCGAGACGTTTGTAAATGGATCGAGCTCTGACTGCGTCGTAGTATGTCGTGGGGCCGAGTTTGGCGTCCAAGACGCTGCGGTCCAGAAGACGAGCACGCCTGGCTTCAAGGGCGGCAGCATCCACGTCGTCGTCGTCGAAGCTAGAGTCGTCCATGGTATCGAATGGGCTGCAGCAGATGCAGTAGGCCAGACATGAAAGACAGCCCAAGGGGACCCCAAACGTTAAGAGTGCAAGGATCGGTGACGTCCGAAAGAAGTTCTCAAAGGAGAAAGGCGGGAAACAACCAATGTGCAACACACTTGCGTCATAGACAGTTGATGGAACTCGGGGGGAGTAAGGACCTACCAAAGACCCGACGCAGAAGTCGAATACGAACCGCCGAACTGTGGTCAACCAACTGCGACCGCCATAATGCTGGGGGGACAAATGCAAACAGCAGTTACATTACGGTTGATCCAGCAAATTACACACCCTTCGAACAAGGAATTCATGACCAATAGGTGAGGCGAAACCCGGCAACCAATATCCCTTAAGTCCCAACCAAACGGAGCGTCAAATGTGTTTGATTCGTTTGCATGATAAATCTCATTTTGTCAAAGTAATTAAAACCAAAAAAGGATGACGGAGAACACCCAATTAGACGTGGCATCTTCGGTACTCTTAAAGAAAACCTTTAAGGTATACCACACGCTTTAAGTAGTACCACGAAAATTACTGCAATATTTTAAAAAGAAATAATCCCAGAATCAATGAGTGCTTTTAAATTATTTTTTACCAACAAAAACTAGGTTTAAAAGAGACCTCAGTGCGTGCATTCTCGCCTTGCTTTACATCACATTTTGATTAAACATTGAATAGAGAGTTGATATTTGAATGATTGGTGCCCCATTTGTAGTTTTAAAAAAAGCAAATGTTTAAATTTAGACAATAATAAACAGTAAATACCCCATTTTTACCGGTGCCCTCCGTTAAACCACTCACAGTCATGTCTTTTCTAGTCTATAAAACAGTTGCGAATCTTGTTAAAAAATAAAGAAAAATTGATTGGTTTTCTCGAAATTTCAAGCATGACAAAAATGATGTCATATTGATACAATGGCTTCGTGGAGCACACGATGATGAATTAAGGAGGTAGTAATGCAACAGCGCAGTCAATTACCAGATGCTAACAATTTGGAACACAGCCTTCATTTGCACTAACCGACTCTAGCCTCTACTACGACGCAATTTAGGGACAGTAAATAGCAGAATATGTAAATGGGTTCCATAACGGCAAACTTCAGTTAGTGGCACTCTTCCCGTCTCACCTCTGTTTACTAACTTTCCTGTGCAAATGCCCGCATCATCGCCAGTAAAACGAATGACTCGACTTGTTCAAGTTTATGTAAAGAACCGCGCCGATACAGAAACGCTGCAGAACGCATGACGGCATTGGTGTTTGGCACTTCGCTAGCACCATACACCTTCACGTAGAAGCCCGGCCCATTTTTACAGTTAAGGAAGCAGGACCTTTGTGCAGGATAGGAATTATCCGACAAGTGGAGATGCCCTGACAAGCACAATTTCGAGACAATTAGCGGAATCTGCAGGGCATCCCATGCTTGATAAGACTGCCTGCTGTGATTTATCGTTGCCTTGTCTGATATGGCACTCCGGTATCCTCATAACGCAGTTAATTACGCAATACACCAGTGAGGGCAGAGCCAAATTTGCACTGCTTGATGCCATAGGCAGGATGAATGCTTACTGGGATTTGTCCATTCGCGGCGTCTTCTAAGAAGGATATGAAATTTTGCTTGCTTATTCCAACAGTAGTGTCGGCGAGGTTGTGGTGTGTGTACAGAATAAGACTTTCATTGCCCGGCATGTAGATGAGAATGTTCGGCGCTTCGAGAGTTGTCATCGCCAGACTACTGAGACCGCGTTCGTCAACCGTCCACACAAACTTGAAACGTCTAAAAAAAAAGAGGGTGGCAAGCAGACCACAAGCGACCGCCATGGTCCCATTGCAATGCATGAATTAAAACTTATACCGTCTAAGGTTTTAAGGCTTAAACGATCTCACGATACAAAAGGCATCTTTAAATGCAAGATCGCAGAAGTAAAGGACGTGCTTCATATATCAGAACCCCCTGTAACGGAAGACAGTGCAAAAAAATCGATGGAAACTTTATGCAGTTTGTAAACTACTTCGAATTGGCGAAGGGCGACATGTTTCAGGCATAAATTCTACGTGGATCATGACATCGCCCTTCAAGCATTTGCGGGTGTCGGTTTTCCATTAATACAAAGCTCTTTTGTCTTAGAAAAAAGGACCACCAAAATTTGCCCGACAAGACAGAGTGATGCAAAACAGTCCTCAGGTAAACGCATCGTGACATATAAACAACAGTTTATTTGAACTAACAAACTTTTAGAATTGAAACGACACTTAAGAATTCAATTACGACATCAAGAGACTTACTTAAGAGTGGGCGTAGAGTCGACGATTGCCAGTTCTCTGCCGATTTCTTTAATGCTAAAAAAGTATAGTGATATCCATCAGACTTATCGGATAACCTTCGCAGACGTTGAATTGCGTTAGCCTGGATGCAAAAGCTGCAATAACTACGATAAAAATTAGGATGCTGGGTAACTCCTAATAGTCAAGACATTTAAGGACATTACATACTCAGACGAAGTCATTCTTTTGCGGGATGAGTAAATGGTAAACGTTTACACTAGCAGGTGACGTTTAATGAAATAAAATAAATAATAAATGAATAAAAGATTAATTATGAGGTTTGGGTCTTGATGTGTTTACTTAACCAGATCTGACTCGTCTTCCCTTAAACTACTTTATTCCCGAGGTTGGAGATTACGGTGTCTGTAACAGCTGTCGCAAAAATTAACGTGCTACTAACTAGGTTCAAGCCCAAATAGGCTCGTAATTAGACAAAATTGAGCGGCTCAAATAAGGAACATCAACCATTTTTAAGGAAAAAAGGAAGGCTTTTAAGTGCCCAAACTTGCCCGAGGTAGTACAAGGTAACATATGTCACCAAAGTTGATTTACACTTCTCGATTGCAATCAAATTGACTAACAGAAAATCTATGCAGGATCTGGCTGAGGTGATAAGGTGGGTTTGCCAGAAAAACCAGCGTAGTCAGTGGCGGTAAGCAAATGGAAGCCCTGAACAATTGAACGATGGCAGTTAACTAACCGCACTCGACTTGGTGCACATGGAAGCCGTGTTGATGGGGCCGGAATATGGGCGTGTGCGAGTAATTGCAAGTTAATATGCGCCAAACTAACACTCTAGAAGACTCGGAGAATGGATCGATAAGAAGTATGCAGATTGACGTGTTTTCAAAAGCCGAATCGCTTGCCATTTGCCTGATTTCATAGACCGACATCTGGCCGAACGCTGGATGACGATTTTCCTCGACAAAGGCGCTCAGTTGCGACTGCAGGTCACCTATATTCGAAATTACTAGAATTAAAAGTGGCTCTAGAAGAGTGGCATGAATAACCAAGCAACAACGAGTAAAACGTACATCTACTCATAGACGTGAGACAAAAAAGTGCTCAGCATAAATGTTTAGCTGGTTTAGAGGACAAAGCTACCCAGAACAATGGGCTCTTAAAGATGATATTAAAAGCACCTTTTGTATTGACATTCATGAGCAAACTGCAAAAACATCAATAAATAGGCTGATTGAAAAAAAAATCTTTTAAAATAAAGCAGTACGTACCCGCAATCGGTAAAAACTGCTTGCGGCTTCCATCTTTATAAACGAAAATCTCACCATCACATCCAATCCTCTAAAATACAGGAAAACACGGTGAATTACGCGGACTACTGGAGCCCTCTCGGTAGGGATTTGTCACTTACCACGACCCGGTAAAAAGGCAATTGCAGCCTAAATTCACCAGCAGTATCATTAAAGACGTCCTAAAAGAACACAAAAGCACCAAGGATTACCTACAACGACAAAATTATTCAAGCAACTAATTTGCTTAGAACCATACCCACAATCGGCCTTCCTGGCTCCCACAATAAAGGAAGAAGACTTCGTCAAAATGCTGCTCAATTTTCTTCTCAAGAGCCTTTTCGTCATCCAACGTTTCCACAGCTGGGCTTTAGTAATCAAGTAATAGACGGGATAAGTCGTTGAAATCTCTCCTTTTTAGCCGTAACCACTTAAAACTCACCCAAGAACACTTTGAACGAAGACCAAGACACCTTCAACAGTCCGTTCGCCTGCAAAGGTGTACGACTTGCCATCTTTAAAACTGAACAGGCAAATGGTAAGTGATGATGGCGGTGGATGGTGGTAAGTATTTTGAGTATTTTTTCATATGAAAAAACAGTTTACTAAAAACAAATGTTAAGTAGCTCTCTAGTATTCATAAGCACCATTTTAACTGCAGAGATGCATGGCAAGATGAGAAAGAATTGATCCCACATTGTTGGATGGAGGATGTTTGCTCCACGGAAAACAACAAGCACAATACGTCGCGAGCTCGTGGTGTTTAGCGAACCATGGTAGTCAAGTTGAGTAAAATTCACTTTAATTTGGCCCCAACCCTCTTATATCTCTAAGTGTTACACCACTAACCAACTCAATAAATATAGCATTAGGCGAGATATATTGATAAAAATGTACTTTGCAAATGCAGATAACTATATCATCAAAAAATTAAGCGTTACGAGTATTTCAATAAAAAATAATTTGTGGCATTTAAGCAGATAAATTGGCTAGATAAACAAACTTTGAACAAACAATATCTGCAAGGGAATATATGTCGCGTTTCCATAAAGTTTTTTTATAGGCTTTTAGAAACTCGTTAGTCTTTGCACAGATAAATGTAAGCAAACAGCTTAAAAATAGAAGTACGATTTAAATGAAACTTAGTAGGCAAGTTAATTAAGGCAAATTATTAAAAATTAAAAAAAAATTAGTAAAAATTAATCAAAGTCCTTATAGGGAAAAGGATGAGTAGCTCACAGCAGGACTGTAGGGTATCCTCTCACTCCAGCCGAAGATGTTTCAACCGGATAGCGTGTCCCATCAATTCTGGCAACAATAAGATTTGGTTCAGCACTAGCTAGGGCTCGTGCAGCATCTGCATAAGTTGCCTCGAATTGACGACAGTATCCACACCAGGGTGCATAGAACTATACAAGTTTAGGAAGCGAACAAGAAAATCTATTACCTTTACTAGTGCCCCTCCTGAAGAAGATGTCACTGTAGAAAAAGAACTATCATAAATGACGAAGATGCTGTAAAAAGAGGTGCCTACTCTGAGTCAATCTCAATAACGCTTCCCCTAGTCTTGTGAACATTTCCATTAGCTGAACAGTAGATGCAAAACGACACAATTACCTCCGAGGAACCCGATAATATTGAACGAAATTAAGAGAATAAGGTACATCTAAAAGCGGAAAATAGTAATATGTTTATAAACGCGAACCACCATTTTATGATCACTAGGATTTTTATTCAGACTCAGGTCTGCAAGGTTGCTAGTTAAATCCAAAAGTGACCATCAATATTTCATGAAGAGTGTGAGGACTAAACTAAACTTGTCCGTGAATTCGGACACGTGCTAGATGGAAAAGGCGAAAACCATAGGGTAGGAAATTAGTTTGAGGGTACTAGAAAGTTGCATAATTAATACAAAAGACCCAAGAAACAATCCTGATAAGGGAAGTTTGACACCAACATTACCGACGTTAGATGGGAGCGTAATAGCTCCATAAAATTCCAAACAAGACTAAAGGTAAACAAGTCAATTCGAAAGGCTAATAAAAGTTATTATATTTACCGAAAGCTACATTAGATGCCTTTAAATCATCCACCCGCATCATGGCAAGATTGGAACCAAGAGCTTGAATCAGCATTAATTCGATTGGATATTAGCACACTAAATGTTGAATCAAGTTTAATGGTTTTGGGCCACAAATACAAGCACATTAAAATTAAAAATTAAAACAAAAAAAAAGCATTTAAAGTTCGAGTAAAGCATATCCGCATACTACAGGGTAATACGATTAGGAAAAACAGACAAATCTACTTAAAGCCAACCGAAATTTGTCTTTGAAAGTGCAACGAGATGAACATGTGTCCGCAAATAAAGGAGTTATTGTATACAAACAAACTCTTAAAGTTTATGTTCTGTTAAATAAAGTTGGCAACATTATTGACAACAACTTAATACCTTTTTTCGATATAGTCATAGTTCCCTATTTGTTGATTCTTCTAATTTTAGATGAAAAATTTAACGCTGTTCCTGAATTCACATTCAGTGTATTCGAAACAAAGAAAATTGCAGTGGTTTGGATGCGTTTCATGCTCCTCTTTAATATAAAAATATTTTAAAAATAATTGACATTTTGGATAACTTTTAAAGGAAACCTAAATAGTTTTCCAGGCAAATGATTTATTTCAAATATTGACGTGGCCCAGATCTGCGCATTTCGAACACAGTTGCCTCAAGTATTTATAATGTAAAAATGAGTAAAAAAATTATTGTTTTTTTTAATTAAGCCCATATTAGCTAATAACTTGATTTATTAAAGAAAATGTTTTTGATTTTGTAATTCGGCATTTCATGCTATTTGAATGTATTTGTGCGTTTTTATGATTTAACCAATCAACCGCTTTTGCTGTGTTTATGGTATCATTAACCTAGTGTCTTTGGCCCCTACTTTCCTTTTTATATTTATTGGTTTTCTCGAAGTACGTGGTTTTTTTGATGGCTTTTGTAATTTACATGGTTCTGCACATGCTAATATGGAAATTGTCTTCTGGAACTCCTGCGGGATCGTATAAAGTTGGTACGTATTCGTTTTGACATGTTTATTCTACCGTCCTTTCAATTATTTGCACTACCAGCAAACTTGTCCACTCTAGTGAACTATGGTGCACCTTAATACAAGTTATTGCTGATCTAATAACATTTGTCTTTTTGTGTAGTCATGTTTTTTGTCATTTCCCTTTAAATATTTTATTTAGTATGTCCCTTATCGACAAATCGATGCAGATTTTTTTAAAATATTTGCAGTGCTTCTGAGATTCGTAGTTGCACTTAGTTGCAATGCTTAATTGACGAACCATTTCAGTCACTGTCACAACTATTTAAATGTCAAGAAAACCTGGATTATGCATTATGTATACGTTTTACTCATCGGTCATTAATGCCGTTTATATATTTATCGTATCCGCCACCCCTCTAAGGTTGCTAATCTGATTAACTTTTCATTTGAATGCCTATTCGTCAATTCCGGTAGTCGGTTTAGACAGATTTACTTTGTTTTACGTCTGCTTGTTTTTATGTGAATACGTTGATATAGGTCAATCTTATTAGTCTTTTCCTTGTACGTTGCTGTTTCTCTCGGTGGTTAGATATTGCACCTTAAGGAACTTTTGACTGTAAAGTCCACTGTGCTCAGAGTTTGTCGGGTGGTGTTAGTGGCATAAGAAGCTCGGTTGCAAATTTCCTTTCCGGTTTTTTTTGTATCTCTGTACTAGGCTACAAACCCATAGGAATCGGTTTGCTAAATTCGAATTATAACAACTGACTCCCCTTCATCTTATCACACTTTTATCGGCTATGTATTGTTTCAGTTATTAAATCGGCACGAAACCCATGGTTCTTATGTTTTTCGTATTTATTTTGATCCTTTTTTTCTTTTCGAAGCATTGTGTATGTAGTCTACTTATTTATTTCAAGTTCGCTATTTGCTTTGTGCAGCAATGGAACTGTGTTTTAGAGGATCTCATTAGAGGTTATCATTGTGGCTAGTGAATGCTTACAAGCCTAAACCCTGTATTGGCCCGGTTGAAATACAAGTTTCTGTAAAGTTAATTAACTTAACACTCTAATGGTGGTCGTGTGATGCAGTCTCTACCTCGGATAGGGCCTAAAATTTGTGAAAACCTCCACTAAAGAGTGATGCCATTGCACACGTCTCTTGTCTAGGTCACTTCTGGCAGCTAACTGACGTCCACCTGGACTTGGATTATGAGAGGCATGGCTGTAGTGGCGATTTCGGTGACTGCGATTGCGACTCCCCGCGCCAGCTCCTGGTTTCTGCTCTTCAAGCTACTCGTAAAATAGCTGTCGCAGAACCTGATTTTGTGGTTTTTTCTGGGTAAGTATTTTGTACCTATGCCTCGTCATGTGTCACTCCTCTATTTTATCACTTTTGTCACAGACTTAAAGGAGATAACATATTGAGGCAGTTTTTGCACCCAAAAATCCAGCCTCCCTCGTTAAAAGTTTATTTGTGAATTTCCACCACCGCGGTCGTCATTTTTGGATACTTATTGAATTCATTCACGGAACTCAACGATCTTTTGATAACTCATATGTGTCGCAATATCTTATTATCAATGATGTTAGGTTTAATTAATTTTTAGACTTAACGCCGTAAACTTTCCCTTTTTCTTGAGATGTTTAACCACAAATTTCAGGAATGCGTGCAAGGCTAATTTAATTCTGTTCCAAAGTGTTAATGCTTTATCGATGAGACTGCTCGATTGTTCGGTCTGATCCTAAATTGTGACAATTTCGCTTGCTCTTCACTGTTGTTTCTGGCGATAACGATCTTTATTTCGGAAGGCTTGACGTTACCATGCTTTACCCGCCTCGTAGTCATCACACACATGGATTTGTCTTATGCAGTGATTCTACCGCACACGCAATCGAGTCTGAGACGGACTTTGAACGAGCAATGAAGGTGGTTGCCACTTCTCTAAAGGAAACCTTCCCATCTCACCGCAATATTCCTGTGATACCAAGCCTTGGCAACCACGACGTCTTTCCGGAGAGTAGTATGTCCGTGAACGAGGTTGATGAGAACAGGCGTCGCTGGTGCACCCGCTTGGGTTCAGATCCAGAACTCTGGGCTGACTGGGTGACAGGTCCAAAGGACGCGGACGCGAGTCGTTTCTCCGACGGTAAGTGACTTGGCCTGTTCCCAGCCTTCGAGTTGCCAGACTCGTGTCTTGATAACTTCACACATCTGCAGGGTCATTGTCGGACCATGAATTAACATTGCCGTAAAAGACACTTGCGGTGCAATGTCTTCGACATATTTTTTTATGTTTAGCTTGAATTATCAAACCTCTCCGAAGCCTACATTTCATGATGCTTTTCCAAAAAGCAGGCTTTAATACGTTCCTTCGACAAATATTTTCCAGCACGTCAATTTCTTTCGATTGAATTTTGGCTGGAAATTCTTTTTGAAATATGTTGCAGCTGCAACTCCTGCGATGTCAATCGCCGCACCCTCTACTCGTTTTCAGTGTGTCAGACTTCCGTTTACTTCCGCTCTGCGGTTTTGCTTTGATGTTTGCGGTCACCTATTTAGTACTTTGCCACCCAAAGCTTTGAATACCACCATCATGGCCGTTGGATTTACGAAAAATCATCGTGTCGTAAGTAAGGAGGCTGATGGTAGTGAATGCTCCCACGCGTTTTCATGGGTCCGTGAAGTAGTTGCGTGACCCTGGTGTCGTCACCGCCACCACCAACGCGTCCCGGCAGTTGTTCACACTGTACAGTGCTGCCTTCCAACATTTGAATCACAACTCCAACATGTCACATTTGCGATCTCTTTGACACCTAGAATGAGTTCCGTAAGCTGCTTCCTTCGTGACAAAATGTGTCACCGTATTTTCAGCTTAGATTATTGAGGTTACAAGACCACAGCCTGTTGTGGCTTTTTTAATCTACCTTTGATTCCGCGCAATACTGTTCCTACCATGACCTTTTCAGTGCACTGAAAATGCCCTGTCACGTTCTGATTCCAACCTATTCCATGTCAGATTTTACTCAAATTCAACTTGTGCCTACACTTTCTAACCCCGAGGCGAAAGGCTATGCTGGTCAAATGTTCTATTTATGCCCCGTCATTGGCGGTAAAGCCGAAGTTACTACTTTGACGCTAGTTCCTCCTCCGTCACTTGCAAATCAACCAAAGTGAATTTAAATACCCGAGTACACAATGTCGTCAGCCACCCAAATTACTGAGAATGCTTAATTTCGCATACGGCGGTAGAGGACTTGGCATGTTTCCACGCATTTGTTGCTCTGGGCGGTTCACTGAACTTTGGTCGATTCTTAAAAGGCGACTGTTTCCCCTAACTAGATTTTGCTTATACCCGTGTGCACTGTTCTCGAATCCGCCTCCACTACTAAGCAAATTGTTTGCAGCAGTGAATCACCACTTGAACGCACATGCTTTTGCCTATCTTTCTGCCTCCACCGCTCAAATTAACACCATGGTCTTTCCTTGCCGCAAAGACTTCACGTCTGCCAGTAGACTTTCAATAATTTGACTTGGTCTTACGCGTCTTCCGATGAATATCGCTGTTGTCTATCTCGTTCACCCTAAATACCCTTTCAAGGCGGTCAATTGTGCTGCTAACGCCGAAAATTCTTGATGCATTACTTAATCACAGTAACCTCACTCCGGACAAGATGATAATTTAGCAGGTTAGCCCTTCCTTCTTGGAAATTCGACTGACTACCAGTTAAAGGGGTTTCGCTGCCTGTTTCAGGATGAGTCTATCGTGATTAATTAATACAGCGAGAGACCCTTTACATGAATTTCGACTCAAGCTATGTATGAGGCAGCTTTAGGTTATTGCCTTGAATTCGTTGTTTGTATGTTACACCTAGTAACTTTCCCCGTGAAATCAGAATCAGTTGTTCCTGAATGTTGCTCCTTTTATTCCATTCTACTGATTCACCTCTCCACTCCTGTCACTTGGCTTTAATGTACGCAGTGCACGATTTTGCTTTAATGGCGCCACAATGACTCAGAGTAGGTCTACTGGACAAATTTAATATTTGGCTCAATCTTCTCCATTTACCGGAAACACTCGAACTGCTTACCATGAACTTCTCTAATCTGACTATTCCACTCATTATTCGCCTGCTGCAATTTATCCTCACAAATTTCGTCTTGGACTTCCACTGCCTCATTGCATGCAGGAGGTAAAAGAAATCCGAGTAAAGTATTTTCGCAACAATTTAAAAAAAGAGCGTAAAGCAGGAAGAATCGGTAAACTCGACTTCCAGTATTGCTGTAGTAATGATGCCAATTAGAAACCCTATATGTAGGGATATAGCATTTGTACGCAGCGTGATGTCCCGCCTTGTCTTGGTGGGGTGGTGAGAAATTGTGTGTTTTGCATCCAGACGTGTGCCGAGACGCGGAATGCCTGTTGGGCCGTTAAGTAGTAGTAGTAATGCACATCTTGGCCTCAATTCCTAGCTGCGCATGAGACTTTGTGAACGGCACACACCGGCTTCGTTGTTATTCGACGTGTGTAGCACTGCCGAAATCACTGACTATGACCCTGTTCAATGACCTCTTGGACTTATTAACGACGCATCAGTTGTTTTTTTTCTACTCGTATATTTTCGTCATGTTTGCCAAAGTACGATGGAAAAGCCATTCTGCCCCCCCTGTGGCACCAATCACTTTGTCTGTCAAGTTACGCACCCCCTTTGTTTAATTTGAGGTGATATATACCGCCAATGTCATAAAATGAACAGAAAACTTTCGTCTATTGTTAAACGCCAAGGCTTGTCCAGTGTCTCTTGCGTCTCCGTCTGAATTATCGGACGTGTAAAAGGGTATTTTTTATGTGTACGGGATAAGATTTTACAATTCGTTAACTATCGAGTCAAGATTTTCCATCGGTAACTGTTTTAAGGCGACATTTTGCTGACGACAGTTCCCAGAAGACAACCAGCTTCTGGCGATGCCCACATGTCGATGCGATTCATCCTCTTGAATCGACTTATCATAATCTGCTGTGTCACTAATTTCAGGGAAAACTTCTGTGATCACTGGTAGCAATATTGTTGAAGTCGTATCTTCTACCTTCGGGGTTGTTAATTTAATGCAGGCTCCGATTGTTTTATATCGTGCTTATCGACTACCTCGGGATTTGTTATTTGTGCTTTCTTCGTGACAACTGGAGTTAATCGGAGTTTACAACCACGGAAGGAAGACTTCTTTTATGCACCTCTTTAATGATTTAATTTATTGCATGCATATAATCGCTCTCTGAGCACACTTTCTATTCCTGACACGCAAAATTCCTCATCCTACGTCACGTGCATCTCGTGAAGGTTATTGTGTTCTGATCCGCAGTCTCTTTGTGGCCCGATTTCACAAATTAGCATAGCATGGGGCTTTGTGCTGACGAGCCTAAGTTTAGCTGATTGATTGATCCAGCCAAGTAGTGTTTGCTTGTCTCTCGTTGAGTGCAAACGCCCTTTAAACCCGCGCTGTGCTGCGCGTAGGCTGCTTATTACTGTTCACACACACACACACACACACACACACGAATTCGAGTAGATAGCACAGCAGCGAGTACGCATTTTGTTGCGCCAACGAGACACGTGTTTATTCCTCTCCCTCCTCCCCCTCTGGCCGAAGGTTGCGTCGTGTTCGGTTTTTGCAAATTGCGGAAAGTCGTCAGACGTCTTGTTGTTCTGTGCTCTTTGCAGCCCGCTTCGTTGAAGGTTGAGAGGCCCTGGTTGTCTGGGTTGCCATAGCTCTGGGTCCTACATTTATGTGGTACTTCTGACTCATCAGAACTTCAAAGCACCCTGTTACAGTTTGCCCCAAGTTCAATGTGTGCTTCTGCGATAGGAAAAACAACCTGTTCTGTGGTCACGACCGATCACCACTGGCTCCTTTCTAGTAGTTCCAACCATCACTAGATCTTAGCAGTGCGCTCAAGCATGCACTTTAAAGTGAGTTAGTGTTGCTGCCTGGGGCAAGTTACGGTAACAAAATCTGTTTTGTGTTAGCCCGCGCACACTTCGTCTCCACACCGCCGTTTTCGTTTTATTGGTTATCTCTGCTTGCATGCTTTTTTTTTCAGCGAACGCATAATTGAGCGAGTTGTGTGCGTACGCTTAGCATGAGAAATTTAGATCCCTTCTAACCGATTTTGTAACCAAGTAATCGAAATCAACGTCTCACTATTTCCAGTTCATAAAAACGGTCTGTGACTCACTAGGGGCCTAATTTCGCTTTCTGCGATTATTACCCACTGCTTGTCTGTGCGTGACGAGCGTGAGGCAGCCTTTTGTGCGTCCTCCGCTACTTATCTGCCCACCAAATGCGTCATTCTTGATAGTTATTCTGGAAGCATGTTTTGATGCCTATGCGGCGCTTTCCGTTTAAAATTTACCGTCTTTTTACTTAGTGCATATTACGAAATGTGAGCTGGCAAATGCCTGACAGCCTTAGCGTGCAAAAGTATCAATTTTAGAGCTACTTTGTGTGCACATCGGGCAATGTCAACACTCGAGTCGCGTTGGTTGTCGTGTTGGCAGCAGCCAGCCAGCCAGCCTCACATTGACTTCCAAACGACAAACCACTTAAGTAATGCCGCGGTTTTCCAAGGCCTAGGTGTGTGCGTGTATGTTGTACCTGCAAAGCGTCCAGTGCCGGCGCAAACATTACTTCTCCCCTGTCGCGTCGTCCTAGTTCGTGCGGTTTCTTGAAGATGAGGAGCTAACCTCCGTCATTTCATTGCACCACCTTTGCTCTCTCCGTTTTAGGGTGTTTCTTTTCGCGGTTGTTGCGAATTAATTCAACCGCGAACGGCACTCAAAAACATCTGCTGGTAATCTCCCTGAACGGCTTGTTGTACAGCCGTCGCAATTCCCAGGCCGACCCAAACGTCACCGATCCCCTGGGACAATTCCAATGGCTCCTGTCGAAGCTCCAGTCAGCCCGCGACGAAAAACAAAAGGTAGCTCGGCGTCTTGTTGCAGTCATTTTGTGCTGGAAATCATTGAATTGTCGATTAGCTTATTTCACACCCTCGGTTGATACCGAAAACCATGTGTTACTTTAAAACGCTTGTTCAGAAATGCCGTTCAATTATGCCCGGCAGATTGGGAGCCTACTTTGTAGGATGCGGTCTTGTGAATGCATTATTGTGTTACTTTATGAACGTTTAGGTATGCGATCCAGCAATGTTTTATTAAGTAGACGATTGGTGCAATTGTAGGGGATTGAGGCGAGCTGACTGTCGAATATTTCTAAATTTTCGATAATGTTTTTACTTATAAAATTTCAGTACGCATGTTTGTGTGTGTTGTAGGCCATTATTATCATGCATTTTCCTCTCGGCGCTCCCGAGAACTCACCTGTGCAATTCCGTCACATGTATGACGTGTACAACGAAAGACTCATCGGCATACTCACTGACTTTGCCGATGTCATTTCATTTGGACTGTTCGGTCATCAGCACGTTGACTCCTTCCGGGTTGTCTTCTCAAAAACTGGTACGTCAGGCGATGCCTGCACATCTGGTTACAAGCAACCCTTTCATCCTGTGGTTTGTGGTTTGTTTGCAGCGTTGTTGTTCACATTCACCGTTTAAACTCAATTCAGAGCCTCGCCATAGGTGTGATTTCCACGTTTGGTTCCTGTAGGGTGTAATGTAGTGTTAGCGTTTGCCTCTTGCCTATTTGAGGTGCTCTGTCAACGTAAGCGCCATTTTCGAGTAACGCGGTGCTAGCTTTGCCCCCAGACCCGTTCTTTCGTTTAAATCCTGTTTTGGCTCCAGTTTAAAGCCTATTGCTCAGGTCTCGGAGCAGTCAATGAAAAGCAACGTCATGTCCATGTCGTATTGTTGCAGGAATAATTTGGCGTAATTAGTTCTGTTACGTTTGCCCGCAACAAAGAGAAAACCACTCGAATAACGGTACCAGATCCCTTGCTGAACGCTAGAACCGACCTTCCCAGGCTAATACCAGAACAAGACCAGACCTCGAGTAGAGAGCTTTATTCACGTCAGCCACGTGCAGAGTGGGTTGTGGAAAGTGAAACTAATTCAAATCAGGGTTGGCCTTGACTTGATAAAAGGCGTAGTAAAACACATGCTAGTGAATCAGTGTAAATTGTGCCAGAAACCAACGACGAGCAATCTTGGGGAATCGTGGATCCCCAACAAATTCACAAGAAAATGCAGTGGTTATTCATCCGGAAAATTACTGTTTTTGCGCAGTATGTGGTCGTGCCTTGAGCGACCAGTAAGTTCATCCTAAATCGCTTTGGGGTGTGGCGCCATTCCACTGTCCGCTCAACTCCACGCGTGGCGTCATTCTACCTGAAGTCGTCAATGTTCTTTTGTAACACGCGTTGTGTTGATTTTTCTGCTGATAACCTTTTTTGTTATTTACATCAACTTTAGTATCATGGTCGGTTGTATTTCGTGATGTATTGACTGCGGGTCCATTGCTTCACAAATCACATTGACATAAAATACGTGTGTGCTTTCTACTGGCATCTATATATACAGAAAGGTATTACTTTGGGGTTTTGACGTGCGTTTCCTGACGAGTGGAATCGAGGCGTTTTATTTGCTGCTCTTTTTTTAGGCGACCCACTTTTGCCTCTCTTCTACTCCCCCTCCGTCAGTCCGATGTACTTAAACGCTCTCGGCTCTTTTAACCCGCGAATCCGCTTTTACAACTACACATTCGGCTCTGCCACCCCCCGCATCCTCGACTACCAACAATTCTACGTGAATATTTCCGCCGACCAGCCCTCGTGGCGTTTGGAATATGCCGCTCGCCAGGCGTACGGCCTTGCCGACCTCTCGCCTCAAAGTCTTGCTGGCCTGCTGGCGCGTCTGGGCGACGACGCGGCAATTTGGTGTTCCTACTGGAATCACGAACTGGGCGGGCAGCCCCACGACTCCGGCCCGTGTCCCGAACTCCACTCCAAAAGGCATTGCCGCCACCTCTGCACCATGCGCCACCTCTCCTACTCAGTTCTGGACAGCTGCCTCGAGCTCTGTAGCTCAAAACCGCATGTTGTTATGATCACTTCTGCACGCAAGACCGACTCTGATAGCTGGAACGCCTTGCCCATTGTGGCGTTGGTTATTATAACGTTTTTAGCCATCCTGGTGGGGGTTGTGCTCCTTGCGAATCGCGAACTCTGTCGCAAAAAGCGACGACGTCTGGCTGTCTCCTCCGGCTCGACGTACCTAGATCACCATCTAGTAACCTATCACCGTCGATCTGTCGACATTGACTTGGAGAAACAAGACGCATCACTCCAGAATGTGTCTTTTGACCAGCAGCAGTTGTCCGCAGAGGCAGAAGGCGAAGCAGAAGAGGAGGAGGAGGAAGAGGCCTACGATGCAGACGAGAGCGAAGAAGAGGCGGAGGTGTTGGAGGACCTGCCTGCTTCGAGCACTCCCTCCTCGCGGTTCTCGCGCTTTTCTCTGCGCATCGGCGGCGTCGGCACCGGGGGCTTGTTCGGACGCTCCTCTGCGTTGGATGGCACCTCGACAGCGGACGATGACTACTACTCCGTTCACAGCTCCTTGCAGCGTCTCTGTCATTCCGGCGGTGGCGGTGGGTCTCGAGGCGATGTGACTGCGGACCAGGCTGCTACCACAGTCAACGACGCTCACCAGGTTGTCTAGCCGTCCCGCTCAAAGTCAATGTCTATGACAGCATTTTTCAAGTCTTTCGCTTGCTCTCTACGTGGGCATCTGAGGCCCTGCACTCGACACAATATGTGATTTTCCTCTTTTAATGTCTTTTAATGCAATGTCGCCTCCTTGAAGGTGGATTTTACGTGACACCTGGAATTAGGCCTGGGCATTCTGGCGTGAGCCATTTCAATGCGCTACGCATTCTCATTGGTAATTAGGTGTCAACAGAGATAGTTTACAAGGACAAAAATAAAGCCTAACTATTTTATTTAGCCGAAATAGTAATCAATTAGATAATCCAAATTTGTGTTGTTCACGCATATGCCGTGGCTCATTTACGTGTCGCCATTCTCCTTCGTGGCTATGCGGTGTCATACGGAAAACGGGCAAATCGTTTCCTCATCTTCGTCACCAAAGTTGTCCTGCTTCAAATTTCAACTTTTTGGTCGTGGTATGATAATTATTTGGGCCTGAGTTATTGCGCGTATGTGAAAGTAAATGAATGCATGTGCCTGAATTATGTAATTCGGTTCTAAGCACGTTCGTTACGTTTTCAGTCATCAGTATGCTTCGTTTGTGACTTGCGTTAGCGCTCAGAATGGAATTGTGAGCGTTAAACGAGCTCTCAACCCGATCGTCACACCTCTGCGTTGTCTGCACACTCTAGTTTGGGCATTTACACACACTGAATGAGACAAACCTCTGATTGTAACGACGTGCGCAGTTCAAACGTCGATTTACCTCGTTGATGGTGCGTGCCATCTGGAATCAGCCTCACTATCTGTTGGGTGATTGTGACAACTCGTGCATTATTTTCGTAGATAGCTGACCTATGCACTCTTAGCCATATCATTAAGTCCGTTTGTTAAATGTCTCATGAATCGACACAACCTTACAATGAATCCATTTGAAGTAAATTGCGGGCAGGATTAATGCTCAAAAATGCGTTTCTACCATTTTGCGTTACACGAGTCCACAACGGGGCTAGTGTTGTAACTGCAATGAAAATAATCTAGATGCTCACTTGGATCGTGCTCTTGATCTTAGGACAATGATAAGTCGTCTAGTCGATTTCAAAATGGTGCCAAAAACAAACGATATTCCGGCATCGAAGGCGACCCTATCTGTGATTTGGTACACGTTGATCTATCTTCCAACACTATGTAGAAAGACTAGATGTTGACATTTCAAGTAACTTGGATGCACTATGAAAACTAATATATTAGTTCCGCATGCTTTGACGGAACTGTTTTCACATCAACTTCTCGATTTTTATCGGACTAAATAGGGGTTCATATTATTACTTGAGATAAAAAGTAGTCACTGTGGGCTCTGAGGGCATTAATGCAATTAAAAACCGGACCACTAAACTAGATTTAGCCTATGCAGATGCGTATTAGTTGATGCGTATTTCTAGATCATCCTTCGGTTCTCCTCACCTTCCAAGGCGTAAGGTGTGGCCACGGGAGCCTTGGAACTCACTCGATCAAGGTCTTTGTCCATACTCGTTAACTTACACAAAAGCATCTCTTTATGTCAATGATTGCAAAACTCGCTTTTCCATTCTGTCCCTGAGTTCTGCGCGTTGTTTTGTGCCTCAACACGTCGATTACCTTTCACTACAGCTGAAAACAGACTAGGAGGCATGTGCTATTCCAAAGTGCACCCACGGAGTTAGCTTCAATGACTACCCTACCAACCACGATGGGGATCGCTTCGTCAATGTCGTGTGGTGTGTGCTTTGCTGTTTATGCGCCTTATTAGACGCATTTGCGCCGTCTATTTGCCGGATAATTGGATTTGTCTTCTCTACATGATGTAACTGTCAAATATTAGTTGGGGTTTGTCAGGTTTATTCGAGGATTATTCATCTCACCGTTCTTACGCCTCCCTAGCCCCCACGGAACTTGTAAGACTCGCGCCCACACACCACACAGAGCAACAAGCACTTTTTAATAAAACTGACTTGTCTCGACTTATGTGAACTCCGATTGAGAGTCGTTCTAGTAGGGAACAATGTTTTCGATTTCCGGCAGGACATTTTTGTCGTTTCAGACCGAATTCACACCATCATAAGTTAGGATACGGAGACAAGAAAAGCAGGTGTAATAATCCTGGCGTAAAAAACTCCTGTAGTGAGTAGTGCTGTTTCACGTTCATTATGTCTGTTGCTGACTGCCCCAACACGCCGCCTCCTTGTCACGCCGTTCTCATCAGACAAGCAGACACGTCAAATCGTGCACGCTTGAGCACACGGTGCTTAGGTCACCCAAATTATGTAGGTGAGCAAATGTCTCTAGTCTCGCACAACTTTTACGCACAATCAAGTGACTGCCACAACACACCTTCGTTGAGTCACGTAATTAATGATTGTGCTCCTCTTTGTCTCTGTTCTGACCAAATTTTCTTGGGTTTCTGCCTAGCGCAATCCGGCCGGGACAACTTGGGGGCCTTATGTAGCTCAGAACTACATACCGGGGCATTTAATACACATTTCAACTTAGTATATGCGATTTTGACCTTCCTACGCGGTCTCTTTAGATTTTCTCATTTCAAGGAATATTAGCGTGGTGACCAACAAGCCAGCACACTTGGCATTCGCGAGCGAACGCAGTTTGCAAGCGCGAGCGAACACAAATCAATCGATTTTTTTCGTGAAGGCACCGTTGTGGACAGACGGCCACCTCGCGTGAGTGATGCGTGTATGCTTGCCCAACTGCATCAATGACTCACCCTCTTTGCTATTGGCTCTTGTTAGCAGTCGCCTGTAACGCAGGCGTATTGACACGCACAAAGAAGGTAGTTACTCGATTTTACTCGACTTGACTTGACTGGCGTGACGCGAGTAAACGGTCGTGTTCTCTTTCGACTCTTTGCCCTCTCTCTTCTTGGGTTATGACCGGTTTTGCGGTATTGCTAATTTAGGCCTCTACGGACTGAATGTTGGCACATTGCCCGCATTTCGCGCTTCAGGGCAGCTTGGATGCACATCGAAAATCAGCATATCGGTTTGGCGCAAATGGACAGTACAGCGTTCCCTCAGCCGCTTCTCTCCTGACCCGTCAGCGAAACGAGACCTACCACGGTTCAAGTCATGAGTGGAGATGAAAAATGGTTTGTGTTCAACAGTGTGATAAGGAAAGAAAATTGGGAGAATTGAAGTTGAAGGCCGAAATATATGGCAAGGGCTAAAATTGCATTTTGTGGTAGGCCCCTACAATTAGTGTCTTTTCGTCAAATTGTCTTGGCTATGCCACCGAATGCTACTGAGTCTGCACGACACGCAAAATGAAGTTGTCGTTGTGCCACTTGATGCTTTGGGGTCTGCAAGTTGTCTTCAAAGCGCTTCCGTTTTGTCAATGGTGCTGAAACCTGTCAGCAACACTGGAGTTAGATCACCGTGGGCGTTAGATGTAAGTTTTCACTTCGAAGACTACAATCGAGGGAAGGGCCAAAGCGTTTTTTTGATTTGTATAATCCAATTTTATGTTTAATGGTTGTAAGAGGATGCTAACTGGCTGTCACACCTGGCTGTTCATCGCTCCTGTATTTTGTGGCTGACAATGATGAAGCTCCACAGCCGCAAAGCATGCTCAGAAACCCCACTGTAATTTTAAAGTTATGATACTTAACCAAATGTTCCTATCTTAAAACATCAGAAAACCACTATTATAGTTAGAGGAGGAATACAGCCTCTGTTCTCACCTTAAAAGTACACAAATCTTTTTTCAAAATACTTCAATCGATGCTTGTTAATTCGCAAAATATCCAAACGTCCAAACAGATCATGAATATTCTGTAGTTGGAGCTCCAGTTTTGCCGCTATAAGTCCAATCCAGGAATCATCAACATGGAACTGCTGCGTAAATAACATGCCTAGAGCAAGTTTTTCTACCTGGGGAAATCCCACCAACAGGCACACACCATAGGCGTAGGTGGGAAACAGAGGCCAGGGCGCCTCGTTCTTGTGCAGACACCATCGTTCGTAGCTTGGCTGGCCAAATCGGAAGACGCGGCCGTCCTTAACAAGTTTGCCATGCAGAAGATTCCTTCTTTGTTCCGCTGTCATAAGTCGGAGTGCTCTGGCAAGGTGCTTCTCGGAAAACGGGAAGTCGTCGTCAACGAAAAGGATGGTTGGCTCCGACCGACGACAGAAGCTTGCTGCCCAGTTGAAGGCGTAAATTGTTTTCTTTGTGAGATTGAAGTATGTGTCCTCGTAGTCACCAACGACGAGGTCGTCGTATATGTCTATCTCCTCTTTTACGCGTTGTGAAACGGTATGCAGCGCCTCTGGGGTTAAGAACTCACCTCCATTATTGATGAGCTTAACAAGGCGATCACCACGTTGGAAGATGTTATTTGTCTGTTTCCTTGGGATACCGACGGAGAAAACAAGGCCGATGCGCAAGCCCAGAACGGAGTCTGCATTGGCATTTGTAATTCCTCCGTACAATTGCCGGAAGTTTTGTCGCCGCTCGAAATTGGAAACACCCGACTTGACAACTACCACGACGTCGAAATTCTGACTGCTAGAGTGATCGGGGTGACAGACGCTTTTACTGAGTGTCAGATACCGCAGCGGGAAGTCACCAATGGGAGCCTAGAAGAGAATATTATAATCAGCAAATTTTGTAAATTTACATTTAACCTTGATTTTTTCGCAGTGGGTATAAGAGATTTCAATTTGGCCTGTTGTCTATCTCCTACTCGACTAGATCTTCAAGGTAGTCATATTCAGGCGTTTCGCCAGTAATTTTGTTTGTGCTCAACGCATCCTAGTAGATTGTTTAATTGCTAAACTCTACTCCGTTGGACGCATTTTCGTAACTTTTTTGAAGATAACTACATTTCATTAAAACTTCGTTTCCTTGGTGTTATATAGAGGCAAATATTGAAGGTGCATACCAAATTCAACTATTACAACTATTGCGGGGCTAAACCAATGGTAACAAAAGTTAATATCAAGTCTTTTATGATCATTTTTTTAAATGACAATGTATTATATATTGAAGGTGCGCACCAGGCTCCTATTGCAACTATTACCTGTCTAGAATATAGGAAGAGCAGTTAATATCAAGTCTTTTATGACCAGTTTTTTTTAAATGACACAATGCAATAAACGTTACGACACTCACAACTTGTATCGGTCTTCCGTACATTAAATTGTCGACAGTCGCTGATAGGTTGATGGCCTGTGGATAAGTCAAGTATACTCTTGGGTCTATGGGCAGCCTCCACTCGTTGTCCGGGATACCAATGAGGTCCGCATGCGTCAGGGGTACTGATCGGGCGCCACTCTTGAGGACAAGGTCATCTGGAACTGTGTATTTAGTTACATTTGTTTCAGCCTCCTCTAGGTTGAAGTTGAGTTCCAATTCGTAGGCTGATCCGGACAATCGCCTTGTCAGCGGCCACACAGCAGGCTGTCTCGGAGTGTCTGTGAACTCGTAATCATACAAATCCAGAAGCGTGAAAAGCAGTCCTGTGCAAGTGAATACCATTACGCCTCCAGTTATCTGACGAAATCGACGTCGAAATAGATCAAACATAGACGCACTTCCCAACGTTAGGTTAAGTGGCTGCAATTAATTTATGTAAAAGGTGCGTAACTGAGTGCAATAAGTGCATGTGTGAGGATTTCGTTAGTGGCGAACGAGGTCACCACTACACTGCGTAAGAGCTTATGGGAATATCTTAGAACAAATAACTTTTGTCAAGGTCACCTGTTGACCAATCAGTTTTGCATAAACATAATGATTCCAGCATCTCGGTGCGTGGGTTGGTGTCAGACCTAAGCACTTCGCTCTCTACCTCTGGAAGACGAATATGCTGAAGGCTGTAAGTAAAGGCACTCCTTTCAATTTAGAAACCGCGATATTAGATATCTGAGGGTCTAATTACGTATACCATCACACCTTCCTTTATTATGATCTAATTAATTTAAATAGCAAATTAACGCCAGTATTGGCTCGTATAATTTACCCCATCCTAAAATTACTTTGATCTCATGACACCCCTCTGGTCTAGCCGTCTATTCTCAGTCGCTTAACTCAACTCCTGTGTTACGCCAGCACATAGCACCACTGTCTGCAAGGCCAACAAACTCGCTTATTTTCCTGCTACTCACGTCTTTGTAGTTCCTGGGTTTGGTAGGCAGTTGAATACTACAACACCCTACCACGGTGGCTTTCATTTTGAATCATTCAAAATGCGTCAAACGAAATAACACAGTAAAATATTTCGAAGAATACTCCACCCATGATTGGCTCTTGAAATTGGGTTGCGTTAGAGTTTAGGGACTCGCATTCTTCGTGCGCACTTCACCAAACCATTGTAGGCATTTACCCAACGTCTGCATCATCATTTTCAGTTATTGATGTTGTGGAGTTGCGATAATTTTGTTATTCTTGAGTGACATGTAAATAAAGTTAAGGAATGTGCGATATCCAAATCTAGAATCAAACGTATAGTATTGGTCTGGATTCAGTCAAAATACACGATGCATTGATCCACACCTCGGGACATCGAGTTGCATTTACATGAGATGGCTCGACATGTCAAGAGGATGGGGTGACAGAGACTCGACTGAGTGTTTTCTGCATTGGACTGCTGGGCGTGGCAGTCTTTTGTACGGGCATTTGTTGGAGTTGCAATTAATGAAGTTCGCATGCGTCATTTTAACGGACAGGGAGTCGATTGGCGAGGTGTGCAGTGCCCCAGTGGAACGCGGAAGTCTGCTTCATGGACAAATCGCTGTAGGGGGCGAAATTACCACTACCACAAAACCCCATAGTTAACGACCGGTCATAACCCGAGAAGAGAGAGGACAAAGACTTGAAAGAGAACACGACCGTTTATTCGCGTCACGCCAGTCGAGTCGAGTAAAATCGATTAACAAACTTCTTTGTGCGTATCGATACGCGTGCGTTACAGGCAACTGCTAACAAGAGCCAATAGCAAGGAGGGTGAGTCATTGATACAGTCGGTCAAGCACACACGCAGCACTCTTTCGCGGTGGGTGTGCGTCCACAACGGTGCCTTCACGAAAAAAAATCGATTGATTTGTGTTCGCTCGAGCCTGCAAACTGCGTTCGCTCACGAATGCTAAGTGTGCTGGCTTGCTGGTCGCCACATCGCCATTTGTCCCTGACTGCATCTTACGTAAATTTGACAAACTAGTAGTGTATTACTTGTGACTTGGCTGTACAAACTGCACTGATGGTCGGTATTATCTAGAAGACCGGAGATGGTGAAGACAACCGTTAGCCAGATGGTTCAACTTAGCCTCGCCACGCCCTGTGCACAAAAGCTCATATCTGACAGATGGCGGTTGCTGATCCATACGGCCTGGGTGAACTTGTAAAGATAATGAGCAGCGGGAGAGGTACACGCACAGGGGTGTGTCAACCGATAGATTTGAGTTTTCGGTCTGTTACGAACACATTCGTGTGGCAACACTCCACTTTGGAAGCTTAGATGAATGAAATTCTACAGAGGTCTGTAATTGTAAATTTTTAAAAGTATACCCACAGGGATATGGCAACTATTTTGTTAGTTAAATCCATTTTGCTTTAAGCATTCCTTGGTTTAATGTTTTTCATCCTAGTGAAAAGGCTTTTGAACACTACGAAAGTATGCTACTGTCAAAAAAAGCCCTGTTTTACGATAGGAACAAAACTAATCGGTGTGCGATCCCTGGATTTAATGTCCCCTGTATTGCCTTGGAACTAATCATGTCGGAATAGTAGACTAAAAATTAAGTTGGGAGGTTGAAAGGAGGCAAGTACAAGCAGTCTTCTTTTTTCCACAATAATTAGAATAAAACAGGTTAGCGTTTTTGGCTTCAACATGCTTGCGTATTCATCAGGTTTTAAAATCCCTGGCCTGCATTTTTTCGTAGACATTGAGCACAAAGTAATGAAGGAAAATGTAGTCCTCCTAAAAGCAAGAACAAGGGACTTCATTATTTCCCAAAATTTGCTGCTCAAAAATTACCGTATTCGCGTAATTTCGCATCTTGTTTAGTTTATAATGTCCTTCAATCTAGAATTTAGTAATGCAGGAGTCACCAGTGCGCGATCCCAGGCACTGCTGCTTTTTCTACGAAGGAGGAATATACGTTTTTCCTAGTAAAATGCCTACTTTAGAGTTGCCAAGGTGTACCAAATCGATCAGGCGACCAGCAGTTCCACATGAGGTGCTCTTACGAAATCTCGCCAGTCTCCAGTTTGCCATGAGCGAACTGTCATTACCTCGGTGACTTGCTTTCTGTTTAATGTTGTAGATCATATTTGTGCAAATACTGACACACGTTGACACACAACTTCGAAAAATGCCCTGTTTACAAATTAAAAAGCTCCGTCAACCACATCTTAGTACCCTCCTTCGTGTTATCGTGAGTTCTTCGGTTGTCTTCAAACAATCGGGTTTTACATTATCCTTGCTTTTTGGTACAATGTCATTGATGCCTACGGCGTTCCATTAATTAACCCCATCCAATCCAGAGTTCGCTTTGTCAGAGTCCTAAATTTTACTCTCTTTCGCATGCCAAATTCAAGATCTGATATTGAGCAAACTGAGGAAGCAACTTATTTGAGACTAAACCGGGCGATTTCAGGCTACACGAGAGCGCAAATTGCTGGAACGGCGGAATATGTCCTTAAGAAGGGCCTGCACGCAGACGTAATTGGTTACCCTCATTTCTTTTTGTTGAAAATATCGTTAACAAGTACAAATAACTTATTGCAGGATTCTTTAAGACAGCAATTTTGCTTACCAGTGCATTGACTAGACCCATTTGATACTTGCGTAGTTGTTTGATGAGGCCGTACACGTCAACACCCCTCACGCCTTGTTCAATTTTGCACTTCAGTGTGTAAGCGACAATAAAGACACCATTTCTTCCTATCCCACCTCTAAAATAGGACAGCAGGCGCCATTTTTTTTCAGTGATTCACATTCTACCACGTACGCATTGCAATGTGCAATTAGCTTCAATCTAATTACCCCGCGTCGCAACGGAAGTTTTTTTTAAAGTGACACGCAAATCCATGAATCAAGGCACACCTCTTTAAAAATAGTATTTAATTACTTTTTTGCAGCCAGTGAATTCTAAAGCGCGAATAAGTTTTGATCAAATCGAATCATTTTTTCCGAATCCGTCGGGGAAATTGGGTACCTGCTTAGCTTACGTGTCTTCCTCTTGAAAGCATTTCCTGGATTCATTAAAAAACCTACCTCTATCAGTGCACATAAACTACGAAATGATACTCTCAGTTTGGCAGAGCTAAGCGCGTATTAGGGCAAGTGGTTTGACAGTTAAGAAACATCTCTACAAGATTTTACCTGCTCTGGACTACGACGGGACCCACAGTGGGTGGAAAAGCGGCAGCGATCTTTGAGACATCGTCGATACATTTGAGAAGCCTCTTTGCTAGTGGTGCGTTACTCCTTGACCAGCCTCCATACTGAAGGTGGCGAACACAAAGTGCCTGTGATTTGAGCAGAAAAAAAGATCATGTTGATGTAACTATACATTATATTAACTAATGCTTCGGATGGCACAAAATTTCACACTGCAGTTATTTAAATGCAAATGTGGGTCATGACTATATCTTAAATTATCGTTTATGGACAACTATAGAAGGACTATGGATTAATTAAAATCAAAATTTTGTGAGTCCAGATTTTAATGCAGCAGGCTCGGAACTTTAAACCATCTAGGAAATTAAAATATTTTTGGGTCAAGGGCTCGATTCCGTAATTCTGGCTTTATTCTTGGGCGATTCTAACTTCACGCAATGTGGTAAATCAAATTCCCACATTAATGGTCCACAAAAGCACATTTTATTAAATTATGTTAAAAACATGACGTGGGTTGATCTAAGAGAGTCTAAATTTTGGATAGGCCTGACCCCTAATGGCACTGATAATCTGAATAATCCATATCCAAAAGTCTTTGGAGGGTTTTAAGCCAGAATTTTACCAAGTCTTCACGTCCACTGGGCCAGACTTTGAATGTCCTGTCGGTCCACACGGAAATTTGCCTCTGGTACAACAATTCGACGTTCCAGATTTCCGTTTGTGACTGGTAGAAACTTGCTGTGCCAACTGCCTGGGGCCAATGGACACACTCTTCTTCATCGCGGCTACCGGCCCTAAAAGTGGGCGAATGAAATAAGCAGGCGTTCAACTGCGCCGATTTGTTAGTTTTCGGTCAAATAGGCATGATGTGATTGGCTGGTTTAGTTATCTAGAAGCAGTTTTTCTTCCATGCCTTGAACAGCGAAAATTGGAACAGTGAATACGTAATCTTTTACTCGAGAGTTTTTATTGTTTCGCTATCTCAGTTAACACCGAACAGCGTCTTATTTCAGTTCTTCCCAAAGTGCCTCACCGTGAAAGGGATTAGAGGCGTACACTTATTTTCAAATCCGCTTTAAAGAAACACTATTAAAGAGTACAAAACACAAGTTAATCTACCTATGTATTTTCCCTGAATATCGTTAATTTGAGACCATTACTTGACTGCATGTTTTTCATTTCCCACACGCACACTGGCAGCCTGGTGACGCACTTACAGATTTCCTCGAATGCATAAAACCACGGTATATGTGGCGAGCAGCCCAATAATTTGGAGTGTTACCACCATGCTTCTCATTCTTGTAGGGCTATCAGAATTTTCGTCACGTAACTACTGAGATGTCGAATCTCCTAATTTGTCTGAGCGATTGGGCTGGAGTTTCACATCTGTGTCATTGTAATTGTCAGTGATTTACACAAACTTTCTGTGATGACGCAAATCTAACTTAATTCAAGACGCGCTTTTACTATCCTTTTTTTTCAGGAATGCCGGAACAGAGCGAAGGCCACACGTTGAGTGAGGTGTAAGGAAAAAAACGTTCAAAATGTGCTGCGGAGGTGGTGAAGAACTGCTCTGACTTCTGTCAAGCATTAGCACGAGTTTAGATTAAATGAACGTTTCTTATGCCTTGTCATTTAAATGATTGGGTTTTTTGTTTTTTTTTGTCCGATGCGCTGCCCTTGGTATCTGCGTTTCGAACTCACTCAAATTTCACGTTAATTTTTTTTAAATTGGCTCCAAAAAAATAGGCTGCTTTAAAACAAGTAGGTTCGATTAGCGTCAATTCGTGCGTTATCTTTAGAATCACGCATTAATCGAGGTAGTCAAAATTTGCGCACATTGGCATCTAGTTTGTATATAAGGTTGTACCTCACCACTTATTTTTTTGTTTCAACGTAGGCAGTTTAAGGTACCTACTCAGATAATCGTATAATTAACGGTGAGCGCTGTTCGTAGACCATTTGCCAGAAGTCGCCAATTGTCTCCAGCGGATCTTGTGTGACAATGAATTCGGGTCTCAAAAGAGATTCATTGGGTAACACCACTCCGTTGATGTCTGTGGCGCAAACACCAATGTAGCTTGCGTTGATATAGTTACCAACAACTGAGTGCTAAAAGAAATGAGGTAAGTTCACAAAGGATTTTAAATGTTTTAGGAACTTGAAACGACGGTAATCTACAGTAGGTAGAGGAGCAGCTAAATGAAATTTCCGCAGGAAGCAGGCTTGTACATAATTAGAAATCATGGCTGCAATGTAAAAACATTCGAAGAATCAATTCGTTTTGAATCATGACAAATCGGCCAATCGCTCTGTCATCCTACACATCTATTCAGGATCACTCGAGGACACTCACTAACAGAGTCTGTACATCAGGCCACATTTAAATTGCAGGGATCTAGTCTGAGTTAGAGCAGAAATAGGACGTTAACATTACCATTAAAGAAATATAAACTGGTTTATAATTGAATGGGGAGATGGAAAGCACACTAAATTCCGTTTCCAATCCTGTTAACTTTAAAATGCTGTGACCTAGTTTTGGGGATCCACGATTCCCCAAGATTAGTTTCTAATTCTATTTAAATTAATTTATTAACATTTGTTTTGTTAAGCTTTTACCAAGTCAAGGTCAACCTTGACTTGAATTAGTTTCGTTTTCACTTTCGATTTCACTTCTTCTCTGCACGTGGCTGACGTGAATAAAGCTCTCTACTCGAGCTCTGGTCTTGTTCTGGTATTAGCCTGGGAAGGTCGGTTTTAGCCTCAGCAAGGGATCTGGTACCGTTATTTGATTGGTCTTCTCTATTGTTACGGGCAAACGTAACGCCTAGCAAATATATTTGGTATTTGAAATGTGGTGATCTACTAAAAATATTTGACACTTGAATAATAACGAAATGCTGCGATGGATGTACTAACGGAAATGACTTGTAACCTTCACCAACTTAAACTCACGATAGACGGGTGTGGCGTGATCTGCATTTGAAATTCGTCCCATGTTCTGCCCAGAATAACACGTGAATTGTCATCTATCAAAAAACGAAAAACGCGAGTGAATAGGGAGAAGAGCAGCCATTAAAGGGAAACTCTTAACTACGTTCACACCATTACGGTTCCTGCCTTTAATGGGGCAAAGTGGTATATTGAATAAATGGGTTATTTTACGGATAAATCTTTACCTAGAGGCCAAAAGTAGATCGGATGCATTTTTCTTTAGGCGTGTTTTTTTGCATTGTTTGGCACAAGTGAGTGTCACGTTTCAGTGGACTCGTATAAAATTTCTCATTAAATCTGAGGTTTCCATGGCAAAAACGCATGAACATCGAGGATATTGCGATAAATCTAATAATACAAAATTAACCATTCCAAAAATGTTATTATTACCTGCATGAAACAGGCTGTCAGAAGAGATATTTGCAGCCATGGTCAGTAATTTATGCATTCAATTTCCTCCATGGATAAATGACGTCAGGAAAATTTCCCCACAAAATCAAGGTCATTGTTAAACTATGATTTAAATATCAACCGAAATGCTCACAAATTGCCATTTATGGTCATAGACACGAATTACTACGCATTGTTTTCACAATGCACTCCTAGGACGCGTTTTCGAGTGTCGCTTGTCCGTAAGTTGATTTGTTCAGAGGAATTTCTCATGACGGGCCAAAAAACAGATTTGTGAAGCATATTAACAATCAGGATTCTATGTCATGTGTCCCGGGATGTGCAATTGACTGACAGTGGATGCGTATAACCAAAAAAGTATTCGAAAAGGTTTACTATAAGCCCTTTGGGATTTGTCATGCATCATTAACTTCCCGTGGTCGCTGTTTACACACACACATTGACCCGTGCAAAGCGGATAAATAAACGTCGTGTCCATCTTGTCGTGTCGTCATCACGTCATCCTCATCATTCGTGGGCTTCGTGGCTGTCGACTCATAATAGCCCTGCAAAGTAACCACAGTTTCTTGGCTGTTTGTGGTTATTGTGGTCTGGTCTACTTCTCACTGGCTGTTCTCGATTCATGAAACTACGAATTTAAAACCCCTACGAAGTAAGTGGTGGTTATCGAGCAAATAAAACTACTTCCCTCATCTTCAAGACCACAGTGACTGCAGATTTGCGTCAAACCTTTAAACTGTGATGTGTCCTGGTGCAAATTATACAAGTCGACTTCCCTTATCAGCAAACAAGTGAGGCTTCTCTAAATAATTGTGGCCCTCTTTTCACCAACTTATTTTTGCGGCCATCCACCTGACTCTCAGTGATTCAAAGTTCATGTACTTACCATTTATTTAGACACCCTCAAAGACAAGAACCTACACAATTAAGCCCTACGCACTAATGAAGGAGCGCATTTTTGAAATTACGATTCCTTTCCTGCTCTGGTTAACACTTGTGAGGAAAACATCTCATTGAGAAGAAGGTCATTTGGCTTATTAATAAAAGTTTTGTCCGAGAAAAAGAATCTGTGTTTTCTTGTACTATTTGTTTGACTTTCTATGACCTCTCGCTCATTCAAGCTCAAACCGATTGGCCTCCTAAGCACCATCGTTTATCTGAAGAAAACTGCGTCTTTGGTTATTAGAGCCAATGGTTACAGATTACAAACCTGCTGACGAAATAAAAAGATTAAACCAGCAACAAAAGTTAACATTTAGTCTTAATAATGAAATAGAACTTGATAAATTCATGTAAAGAGCACAAAATACTCCATTAGATATATGATTTAAGTGTTTCTATAAGGGCTTTTGTATGACGGTAGAAAAAAAGCTGCTGCTCTTTGGGAACGCAGGTTAATTAAGTGGGTCACGCGCAAGCGGGTATTGAGGAAAGTGATTGGTTTCCTGGCTGATTCTCACACCACTTTCTTCGACTGCTGATTCTGGGCTACTTTCAGCAGTCACTTGGCTAGAGCAAATTTATGCTGCGGTGGGTAAATCCAAAGCAGGAAAAACACGGATGCTTACATGGTAGGATATGCTTGTAGCGGTTTTTCGACACATTTCCTAGAAGCGCACCACACAGAGACGCCTTACTGCCATTCCTAGAGTCCTCGATCCACTCGTTAGACAGTTTCTAAAGTAGACCGAAGGCATGTGACAATTTATTGGAATGGGAGTTTGTAAAACAAGGGCGTACATTAAACCATATTTATTGAAAATAACCTACAAGGTGTTGTGATTCGTGTTGATTCATGTCCGATAACCCAGTCGCCGCAGCCTCCAACACGCCCCCCCTTTTTACGGCGTGCCCTTCAGTCACGTGAGGCAGCAGGTTAATTAACCCCTCTGTATGTACCACCACCACCACCACCACCACCACCACCACCACCACCACCACCACCACCACCACCACCACCACCAC